GGATAGATGTTGGTCAAATGGTACCAACTTCCAGTTATACAATGAATAAATTCTCGGAATCTAATTGACAGTATGGTGACTATAGTTAACAATACTATATTATATACTTGAAAATTGCTAAGAGAATAGATCTTAAATGTTCTTACCACAAAAAGGAAAATGGTATTGCTAGTGGTTACCAGAGGGAAGGGAGTAACTGGAAGGTAGACAGGGTAAAAGAGGTCAAATATGTGGTGATAAAAATCTAACTATGAGTGGTGAACACACAATGCAATATATATATATGACTCACTGTTGAGTCATATACACTTGAAACTTAAGGGATTTTGTTAATGTCACCCCAATTAAAAATGATAACAATAAAATAAGAAGAAGAAAAGGAAAATGGTAATTATGTGAGGGCGATGGAGATGTTAACTAATCCTACTGTATTAATCATTTCACAATATATATTGTATATCAAATCATCATATTGTGCATCTTAAAATTATGCAATGTTATGTCGATTTTATCTCAGTAAAGTTGGGGGTGAAGAAAATAGAGTGGGGAAGGTCAGTACTGAAAGTTAGATTTACAAATTCTGGAACAGGAACACGCAGAACTTTTTATTTTATCTACAAGGTCGAGGCAATGTAATGTGCTGAAACTGTGGGGGTAGATTGGGCAACTTAAGGCTGAATGTTGGCATCACTGCTGGGATAAAGGTGAGGGTGAAATTGTCATTTTAACCCAAAACTTTTACAGAAATTCTTCTAAAACATGAAACCACAAAAAATAAATATTTCTCTCTGATCAGTCGTAGAGCTGTGGAATGTTAAATTTGGAAAAGACGTTGGAAATCATCTAGTCCAAGTGTTAGGTTAGTTACGAAGCTGAAATAAAGAGAAATGAAGTGATGGGTCCAGGTTCACTTAGCTTGTTAATGGTTGAGTCCAGGTATTCTGATTCCAAAGCTGATGTTCTTTCCAAAACACTTGTGTTGTCATCTCAGAATAATTTCCTGCCTTTCTTCTGGTATAGTTTTATAGCACATGATATTTTTTTACTATGGGTTTTGGCTGAGCTCCATTAGTCCCTCTGATATTATTGTCACTTTGCCAACAGCCTCAAAAGATTATAGCAGAGCATCTAAGTAGAAATTTAACAGCATGTTTACTTAGGCCTATTATAGGTTCATTGACTATGCAAAAGAATCTTTATACCTTAACTAGTATAATTGTTAGACATAATGTTCTAGCTGTATCAGATGAAACATTTATTTACATTTCAATAGATCAGCTACTACATTTACCTAGGCAACTAAAGAATTTAAGATAGTTTTGATTTAACTATATTAGGCTTAAGATGGTTGTAAAGTTTAAGGAAAATTAATATGATGATGGTTCTGCACAAAATTTACTATTTGATAAAATACCATTAAAACTTCATTATAGTAAAACTATGCATTTCATATTAAGACTTTACAATTCCAAATCTGTTGCTTAAGAGATAGAACTCTTTTTAATCCCAGAGAGAAGAATAACATCATTTGATTAGAGTTACTTTTTAAGGTAAAAGAGAAGCATTATATATAATCATTCTATTCTGGGTTTTCCCTCAGGGTAGTACAAAGGTAGTACTTTGTAGCAAGCCATTAGCATGCATGATTTTCCTGTAGATGTTTTAAGTTTTGCTATTTTTTCTGGTTAATAAGTAATTTCATTGTTAAAGGTTCGTATTTCAGAAATGTATGAGGTTTTACAAAGCACAAGTCTCCTATTACTACAATACAGTTTTTATTACCAGCTTTTTGAACTTAAAATTATCTGTACTGAAGTGAACAACTTTCACTTCAGTACAGATATTTTGGTGCTACATGATATCTTATCGTGTGTGTGTGTGTGTGTGTGTATAGCTATCTTAGAATTTATTTAACTAATCTTCCACGAAAGCACATTTGAGTTTGTTTCTAACATGTTGCCGTCTTTAAAGCTAATTTGAACAGTACACATTGAACTTCGTACACTTTGTTTTGTATGATTCATTACTTAAAGTGAAAGAGTAGACTCAGATATATAAATGTTAAAAGTTTTAATACATTTTCCAATTTACTATCTAAAATGTTGTACTATGTTGGGCGTTTCCCTCAACCGGTATAAAAACCTTTGTTTCCCCATATCCCTGTGTAAATTGGGCATTTTTGCTGATTATTTATTTATTTTTGCCAATCTTACATGTGAATATGCATTAATTCTTTTTCATTTGCAATCATTTAACTATAAATGATACTGAGCATCCTTTTACATATATGGCCACATTTTAGTTTTTGTTCTGTGAATTACATGTCTATGTCCTTTATCCATTTTTTATGTTTTCTTTTTGATTTGTGAGAGGCATATAAGTGTTAACTTCCTAGGATATTTGAAATTGTAAACCGGTATCAAAGAGCACAAAGAATTATTATTTCTATGTGTGCCAAGAAATTGACTTTTCTAACTGAAACGTATTTGAAGAAAGTTGTTTTTCTCTAGTCTCTATAGAAAAGCATTGCCACACACAACAGCTAAATTATAGTCATAGGGAATCTGTTTATTTTATTAAGTATGCCAAGTAAATGGCTGTATTTTATTTTAACACTTATGTGAAATTAAGTATATCCTATCGCCATAAGTTACTTTCCTCATTTATATAAGCTTTTTGCTTCTTTATTTTTTCTATCTAAGTATTTTATTGTGCTCAATAATAATATAATGATAATGTTTTGTGACTTTCAATATTCATGCTTTGTTGGTTTGTTTTATGGAAGGTCTATGCCAGAAAGGAAGCCTTAAAGGGAGCCTTGGATAAAACTGTTAGCCTTCAGAAAGACCTGTCAGAGATGCATGAATGGATGACGCAAGCCGAAGAAGAATACCTAGAGAGAGATTTTGAGTATAAAACCCCAGATGAATTACAGACAGCAGTTGAAGAGATGAAGGTAAAAGAAAACAAAGAAAAAGAGAAAGATGCAGCATTGCTTGAAATTGTGATTCTGCACAAATTGCTCTTTTCTTGTTTTAATAGTAGAGGTTCCTTCTTTAAAATTAATTTTGCTTTGAGTGTGATATACATTATGTAGAATTCTGAAACTTTTTAATTTATTAATTTTAATGCATTATGGTCAAAATATAAATATTGACAATCATAGTTCATAACAGTTTCCCCTTGAAATGATACAGTATTAAGAGATTGGAATTGGCTAATCACACTAGCTGTTTCCAGTTAATGCGAATTCAAGTTGATAATATGTCAAAATATTATTGAAATGACAGTTGAAAATGCAGTCAACAGGCTGCATTAACTTGGTTGTTTAAAGGGGTTTCTTAGAACTTGGAAGGACTAAATATTTTAACTGATGGCCTTTAATATGGAGAAAAAGGACTGAGTTTACATGTACTTCCCTTGAAACAATAGGATAACAAAACAATGACATTTCTTTAGGACCAAGGAAATTGGTATGTAGCAGGGAATTGAATCTACACAATGGCATTTCAGTATGGCCTTTGGTGACCCAGTAGTAGTCAGTGTAATCCTCTATTTTATCATGTCTAAATCATCTCATTTCCTAACTTGAAAGTACAAACTGAGATCGAAACTTACATGTAAGTAAATTGCCTAGTTCAGAGTGGGCATTCAATGATTTGTGGCTATAATAATAATTATCTTTATGTACTAGCAGTAACACACAATCTAACCACCTTAGCCTATGTGAAATATTGATAGATATATGTTTGGCTTGAGGCCTCATGACAGAGCAAAATTATTTTGGAGCCAGGCACTTGACTTTAAAACCTTGTCAATTGTTGTAACCTTGGGTAAGTTATACAAAGCTGCCTTGTGAACTGAGTGTCATGATACCTGCTTTTCAGAATTATTAGAAGGGTGAAACATGAAAGTCCTAATGCAATGCCTGGCACAAAATAGAAGCCCAGAACTAGATAATTATTACCATTATTATTGATATTCATGCTGCTTGGTAAGAAATTAATTACATGTACTTTATTACATTATTTATATGATCATTCAATGTTTATTATAATTAAGAGCAGAAAGTACTTGTGAAAATTCAGATGTGTAAATAAACGTGGCTTTAGTCCCATGTGGAAAGTAATATTAAAACATAAAGAAAACTATATATAGATAAACACTAATAGTTTCTAGAATATTAAAAGCTACAAAACGATTCTAATCTAATATCATTATCATTCATTTATTCATCAACAAATATTTATTGCATACTTACTATGTGACAAACACCATTCTAGATACTGAATATAGTGATGAGCAAGACATAAGGGCTATCCAGATTATTGGAATTTACATTCTTTGCGGAGGGCCAGGCAATGAATAGAGAAACAAACTTCATTGAGATCATGATAATTTGCCTCAAAAATAAACCAGGATTATGAAATAAAGAAGCTTTAGAGTTCAGGTAGGAGGTAGGATGCTATTTTAGAAGGTGTTGACTCATAGGACATTTATGTGGAAGTATATTTAATCAGAGATATGAATCCTAAGGAAAATCCAACCTTAAAAAAATCTTATGGAAGCACATTCCAATCAGAGCTGGAAGAGCTCCAGCTAAAACCCCGAGGCTAACTGGGAATAGAAAGTGGCCTAGCTCCCTGAAGAGAATGAAATGGGATAATGGATCTGAGATGACTCTGAAGGGGTTGTTAGATATCTGTTAACGACAGGAGTTTTGTGGGATATTGAGGATTTTTTTTTTTATTCTAAGTGAAATGGGAAAACATAGGGAGGTTTCAAACAAAGGACTATAATAATTTTTAATTTGACTGTAGCGAAATCATCATCAGGAAAATTATATTTTATAGAATATTAGAGCTAGGAGGTACTTTAGAAGCAAAATAGTCCACACTTCTCCCTGCTAATAAGAAAACTGAAGTCCGCAGGTAGATTGAATAATTTGGTCATAGTCACAGGTTTTATCTGTGATAGAACCAACAGAATTGAATATATTCCATGCCCCATCCCACTCCATCTCTTCCCAAGCTATTCTATTCTCCTATTATGTTCCACTCTACTCTACTCTACCCTACCGTATCCTACCCTACCCTATGAATTATGTGCCACCTGCTGCCTTTTCCCTTATATCTCAATCCCATCCTGGCTGTTCTTACCATCTCTTCTAGTTCCATATAGCCTCTGTGTCAGAAAACTATGTAGATAATCAGCAGTCAGTTTGTGTTCAGCTACTTCGCTTCTCCTGGTTTCTTCCTTTGGCTCTGACTCTCTACTGGCCCTCTTCCCTCTCTCCTTGCATAGTTGGCCTCTCTGGCTAACCACCCAGTCAGATCCCTTTTTTGTTTCCAGTGCTGGAGAGCAGACTATTTCAAATTTTAAATTATTGTAAACAGTCTTTGAAATGAGTGGTCCAACCAATTAGTCCACATTGATTTGCATGTTGAAGTAACTGATCTAGCTACAAAGTTGGTACATTGAGAGTAATATTGAAAAGCAGAGAAGCTCAAGCAGCCTCTGGCAACAAAAGCAAAGGGAGTTGGCCAAGAAGATCACATTTCTTGTGTTTTCTGCCAGCCAGTCAAGGTAATTTCTTCAGGTCTGTTTCACTATCTAGAGGGTAGGGATAGTACCTTGTCCAGATTTCCACCTGTGCTCGTATTGAGAGCAAATTTATCTTTATTGTCAGAAGAGACTGACCTACTTTAACATCTCCCTGATTCACTCAGCATAAAAGTAGAGACCCCCTTCTGTTTCTCGACTTTTCTCTCCTGTGTTTTACTTGAAAGTGATAATGCTGGCTTCTTTATTATTA